GCCACAAACACATACCAAAAACAAAAACAAAATCCCGGAAGAACAAGATCTGGTTCTCTGGGGACTCTGATGATGCTGTAAAGAAGAAGAACGCGGCATATCGAAGAGCTGTCGACAACACCACTACAGAAAACAAAATTAATTACTTAAAACCTCGAGCTGAGGCACGTAGATGCCTCAGGAAGAGCAAAAGACAATTGTTAAGAAAATACATCTCCAAGATCGACAGCCAGACACCACTCAACCAAGTTTTTAAAATCCCCTCAAATTTTTTTGGGTAGATGCACAGACACCATCCGGATGGAACCACAGCTGAAACACAGGTAGACATCGCAAACACAATAGCTACATCTCTCTCCAAAAACTCATCCAAAGCAAACTGCAACACCACCTTCCAAAACATAAAAACTAACAGAACAACAACACCTGAACTTCCACTCAAACAACACTGTAACTAACATCGCAGACTTCACGCTAGGCGAACTAACATAGTGCATCTTGGGCCTGGGCAATACAGCCCCAGGTCTGGATGACATTCACAATCTGATCATTAGACATTTACCCGCAGAAAAACTTACCCTCCTACTAGACATATACAATGACATGTGGCTGTCGAACTCCTTTCCAGAGTTTTGCCGTCTCGCCACTGTCATTCCAATACCCAAACCAATACGGGCTCACTGAGCGGTCTCCAGTGCGGATTCAGGAAAACATGATCCACTCTGGATCACCTGGTCCGCCTGGAGATCTTTATACGCACGTTTGCCAAAGGAGGCCACATGATCGCAATCTTTTTTTTTACCTAGAAAAAGCGTTCGACACATCCTGGAAGTACAGCATTCTCAGAGACCTGCAGGCTCTCGGCATACGCGGTCACCTCCCTGCCTTCATTGGCAATTTCCTGAAGAACCGTTCATTCCAGGTTTGTGTCAGATCCTCCCTTGCAGATCCCCGCCAACAGAAGGAAGGTTTCCCTCAGGAAATCAACCTTTCTCTTCTCCTATTCGAAATTAAAATAGATTCCATCGTTAAGACCCTTCAAAATAGCATAGACAGCTCGTCAGTGGCGGCGCGTGATTTATAGAACTGACCGGCGGTCATTCACGTCGACTATTTTTCCCTTCCCTACCCCCTTCTTTCACAACACACACGCACACGCACACGCACACGCGCGCTCTCTCTCTCTCTCTCTCTCTCTCTCTCTCTCTCTCTCTCTCTCTCTCTCTTTCTCTCTCTCCTTATTTTATACCCCTACTTTCGCCATCCCCACCCCCTCCCCCACTCCCCCACACACACACCACAGTAAACATTGTAATATAATGTGAAAGAGCTAAAATATGCGGTAGCGTCAAGAAACAATATTATGAATAATGTAAGATGGAAGTTACTGAGATTAATAGAAACTCACTTGATCAGCACAGAAAAAGAAACACACTACTTGAGTCTAAGCTAGAAAACAAACAAAGTGAAAAGCAATAAATCGCTGGTCCTGGCCTCCAGTACAGTACTTTACTCTACTCGTACTTTCTACACACCCAAACACAATATCGACGTGCACTGAACCCGTTAAATATATGTAATAAGAACTGTCCTGTATGATGACAAAGCACACAAGTTTCCGATCATTATATCATCAAATGTACTTCATCGCACTTCTCAGTTCTCAGAACTGAACACTGAACACTGTGTTGTAACAAAGTGGGGAAGTGTGTCAAATGCTAATTATAGAACTTGGTGTCTAGCTGGGGTGAGGGTTGAAAAGGGGAGGGAAGGGAGGGGGTTTCCGGCCCAGACTCTGACAGCCGAGTGTCTATCGCTCCTCGTTAAAATTTTCCTTATATATCTCCACTAGACGATTCCTTCTTTCGCTGTCCAGACTCCTAAGGGCCAGGTAAGTTATTAGTGGGGAGAAAACGATGAGTAAATGCCAAACATGAACTATAGGTGGTTAAAAAGTCAATAAACAAAAAAGAGTAGTGCCATGCTGACAATAAATGTTCTGATAGTAGTTAGAGAAAGGCTGAATGATAAATACATGTTTTTCTGATAAAATAATACATGTGTCTGTGCTGCTCAAGACAGTCTCATTCTTAATTTTGTAAGCTACAAAGAAGCCAATCTGGCAGTTAAGGGATATACGAATCTTTCTGTGGACTGACGATGGATTTGTCCATGGGACTGACGTCATCGCTAGGCCAAAGCCAAGCCCGCCGTGTGTTTGGCCCACTGACCTAAAAAGATATTTTTAGGTCAGTGGTTTGGCTTCGTACGTAGTACGAAGTTCCGCGACGTGACGGTTTGACGGGAGACGATTTAAAATTACGAGCCGGCGCGATAACAAACGTGAAGGAATAAGGTTATGTCGTGACGAGACAGCAGTGAATCCCACTTGTCTATTTGAGCGCTTTCAAATCGGCAAGGTGTTTTTGAATGTTGATAGGCTACATGTTTGTTTGGATTTACTTAAAACTGAATGAAAATCGTCATCAGCAATAAACCTCTAGTCAACAGTTCAGTTGACAAAAATCTGACCGCACCGCCCAGTTAACAAACCGCCACTGCAGCTCGTTATATGTTGACGACTTCTTGATATGCTGCCGTTGGAAAAACCCTCAACTAAGATCTATGGAAAGGCTGCACAAACTTGAAAAATGGGCAAATAATAATGGCTTCAAGTTTTCCCCGTCTTGCTGATCAGGCAGACGTGTACTGCAACGGGATCTGACACTATATGGGGAAAGGATTCCCATCCAGGACCAGGCTCGTTTCCTGGGCATTATATTTGACAAGAAACTCGCATTCATTTCACACATAAAAGGCTTTCGTGTGAGGTGCCAGAAAACGTTAAACACTTCAAACTTTTTATTGCATCCAGAGTGGGGTTGGGACTCAAAACACGTTCTCCCCCTATACATTTCCCGTGTCTGATCCAGGCTTGACTACGGCTGTCAGGTCTATGGATCGGCAAAACCCCATGTTCTAAAGATGCTAGACCCAGTACAAAACCAGGGACTCTGCCTTGCCCTGGGGGCTTTCTGCACTTCTCCAGTGGAGAGCCTCCAGTAGGCCGAGACAAACATACTATCACTCACACTCAGACGCACACAACTCTCACTACAATACACAATTAAACACCAGAGAACCCAGCACACGACTGTATTTTTAGAACAAACCCAGATACCATAAACCAATTCCAAAACAACAAAAAATTCATCAAACCCTTGGGCCTCAGAGTCCCTGAGGACCTTAAAAACGTACAATCCTCCAAACAAGACATCCAACAATTTCTTTTCCCCGAACTCCCTCCGTGGCACCTCACCAAGGCAAAAATAGATTTACAGCTAACCACACACACCAAAGCAGGTACAAAATACCAAACATTTTAAGCAGAATACAAAAAACATTAAAAAATACCCCCGGTGCAGAGTTATCTTCACAGATGGCTCTAAATTGGACTCTGTTGTGGGCGCCGCTGCCCTATCCTCTAACAGTACACACCAGTGGAGACTCCTTCCCGAAGCCTCCATTTTCTCTGCGGAGGCCACTGCCATTGACATGGCGGCACTGGACTCTGTAGAAAATTCTCCTAACAAATCTTTCCTTATATCCTATCTGACTCTCTGTCTTGCATCACCTCACTTACAAACTACACACTCTTACACCCAAAAATAGTCAGGTTACAAAAAAAAAATACACACTTTGGCTGACACTGGGAAAGGTATCTTGTTTGCATGGCTACCTAGCCATGTGGGCATCCGAGGAAACGAGCTAGTGGAGCTAGTGGACCTCCTGGCAAAGAAATCCTTGTCCCTTCTGTTGGGATCAAAGACAAACACTCTCCCACAGACTGCCTTTAAAAATGAAGTAAAAAACTACTCCTCCAGTCTGTGGAAGACTTATTGGAACAAACAAGAAAATAATAATTGATTTTTTAAAGGCCATTGGCCTTTACGGAAAATTGTAAATTATATGGTTTAAAATTTTACATGTTATTTAGAAAGTCATTTTAAATTGAGCATTTATTCACGCAAAATTGTTATTTTTTTTAGAGAAGTTGGCCGGAATCGGACTGAGCAGTGAACTGTTGCTAAGAAAACCAACTTTTTAAGCGCGCTCATATTACCTTATGTAGTTGACGTTCCGTAAAACTTTTACTAAAACATCAAACTGTTTACCCAGTCAGTTACAATGGGCTTCAAAATGAACTTGTGGCAGAAGTTGCACTTGGTCACTGAATGGTGACGACCCATTAATTTGTTTTGCCATGGCACACAATCTTCTTGTCTGACACATTTCGCTTTATCAAGCACAAAGTCAGCAACAAAAAAAGGAAAAAAACAAACAAAAACCCTATATTAATTAGCCTTAACAGCAGTCCTTAGTGTTCGACCTCCTCCAGTTGGGATCTTAGAAGGGAATGGTTTGTTTTCTTCATTTTCATCAGTACTGCCTTAAATGGCCACCTGTCTTATACAGCCACTTTTGTCCTTGTTACACAGGTTTGACGTGGGTGGTTGGTGGGTGCTCTGGTGTGGCTTTCTTCGTCTTTCCTATGAAACATCTATCGTCTTTATCTCCCCTCCTTTTTTTGTGTTTGTTGCTCTCTCGTAACACTTCGAATCTTTTGCACTGATATGACCTTAGCCCTTATTGTGTTGCAAGTGCCGCAAAACTCTTACTAAAACAAAACAGGTTTGACTCAACTTTGACTGTATATATTTCGTATTTAAAAAATGAAGTCTACTCTCTTCTCAAGAAAAGGGGGTAAGTTCAGGCAGAATAGTTTGAATTCAAAGATGAGTTTCTGACTCTTTCCTGTTTCAAGTTTCAACAATCAACCCCCCATCCCCGCGACCTGAATTCTTTTGCACTCTATTTTTTATCTGTAATTGGCACAAACGAAACAAGAATGAAACTATTATGTAACTGTTTTGTGTGTTTTGTTCCCATTATTCGTGAAAGATTTTCATTGTTCTCTTGGTTTTGTTTTTTGTCCTCAGGTTTACACAAAAGGGAAGGACAAAGACGATGAGGGCCCTGCTTGGTATCCAGCGCGGATTAAAATGTTGAAAGGGGAATTTGCTGTTGTAGACTTCCCATGGGATCAGAATGACATCTTGCCTCTAGACAAAATTCGAATGGTTAATCTGAAGTATGTGATCATAGTTTGTTACATTATGTTTTTGAGGTAGTGTTACCAGTTATTGAGAGAAATGCCATCCTTTATTTTCTTTAGGTTTGTGCAAGGCAAGCAATTTCACACAATGGGCCGAAAGAGAAAGAGCTTTTGAGAAACAAATGCTACATTTTCAGACAAGACTTTGATGAGTCTTACTTGAACAAAACATTTTAACCTTTAATTTGGATTCCTACCACTTTCAAGTCCTGGTCCCACTGCTTACGATCCTGGTTAGCCCAAGTTCCCGTTGTTTTATGAAAAGAGAATTTTTGCTATACAAAAGTCACCCCTAAGATCCCACTCTGATTCACTGTGAAGGTCTACATGCTGCTAAGATCCCGCTTTTCAGATGATAATTTACGGAACAAAAATTCGGGCGGGCACAGCTGATCAGCCAAGAATTAAAAGTTGAGATTGTTGAACTGCCTGTCGTGTCAAAGATCAGCCACTCTCGTGATTGTGATCACATAAGTGTTGTAAAACTCGATGAAACGGTACAATGTTTGCCCCAGACGGGATCACTCCGAGGAGTGAATGACCGGCGCGTTTGTTTACCCCAAACATCACTCTCGCCTCTGAGCTCTTCACCTAAACTTAAAGCACTTGCTAGGTGGGCAGGGCCTACACGTTTGCTCCAGGCGGGATCTCCTCAAACTGTGAACATCTTCCCTGACCTTTGCAGCAGTTGTCTCTGTTCCCAAATTTGTGAGACGGACTAAATTTTAATTGGTGTGGTCACAACGTGATGTTGTGTAACGACAAAGGCGGGGGGAACTTTGTCAGAGATGGAAAGCTATTAATTTTGGACAGATAAGGGGAGGAGGGGGGACTGGATAAATTTAGAAATTGAGACTCACGATAGGATAATAGTAATTGTGGTTTGTCATGTAGGTTGACCACTCTTTGCTCTCCATTATATGATGTCATAAACCCACCCATGGGTCACGTCAGTTCATTTTAGAGTTGAGGGAAACCACTTTACCGGTTGTGGGCCTTAACATGGGTCATCGTAGATTCTTCCTTTGGTACGTTTGGTAAGATCCTGATCGCCTAAAGTCCTGCATTTTCCTTGCACGGGGATCTGAAGCGGATACTACTGTATTATTATTACAGTAGTCTCCGCCTAAGATCCCGCCGCTTAAGATCCCGTTGTTTTAGGAAAACAGAATTTTTACTATACAAAAGTCACCCCTAAGATCCCGCTCTGATGGTCTACATTCGGCTAAGGTCCCGCATTTCAGATCATAATTTGCTAAACAAAAACCCGGGCGGGCACAGCCGATCAACCTAGAGTGAAAAGTTGAGATCAATAAACTGTCCGTCGCGTCAAAGATCAACCACTATCGTGAATGTGATCACATACACGTTGTAAAACTCGATGAAGTGATACAATGTTTGCCTCAGACAGGATCACACCAGGGTGTGAACTGATCGACGCGTTTGTTTTCCCCACGCATCGCACTCACACCTGAGCTCGCCACCTAAACTTGCATCACTCGCTGGGTGGGTAGGGCCTACACGTTCGCTCCAGGCAGGATCACATCGAACCGTGAACTCTTCCTTGGCCATTGCAGCAGTTGTCTCTACTCCCAAATTTTCGAGACAGACTGAATTTTAATTGGTGGGTTCACAACGTAATGGTGTGTAACGACAAAGGCGGGGGGGACTCGGTCAGAGATGGAAAGCTATAAATTTTTGATAGGTAAAGAGGAGGGGCAACTGGATAAGCGTAGATCTTGAGACTCATGATAGGATAATAAGTGAAAATGGCATGCCACATCCCACTATGCACCGTGATAGGTCATCAAGGTTAACCACTCTTTGCTCGCCATATGTCATAAACCCACCAAGCGGTCACGTCAGTTCGTTGTAGAGTGGAGGGAGACCATTTTACCGATTGTGAGCCTTAACATGGGTCACCATAGATTCTTCCCTGGGTTCATCGGTTAAGATCCCGGTTCGCCTAAGATCCCGCATTTCCTTGCTCCCAAGCACCGGGATCTTAGGCGGAGACTACTGTATTATCATCATGGTTATTTTGATTAAATTCATGATGCCCAATTCGAAGAGTTTTTGGACCTTTCGTATTCCTGTCTTTTTCGATTTTTGTGCGACACCTTTTTTCAGCTGTCATTTTTTAAATTAGACCTGTATGCAATTCCTCTTCATTTATTATTCTTGCTTTCTTTTTCTTTTTTTTCAGTCCCCCAATCACAAAAGATTCCTTTTGCCAGTTTCTTCTTGAAGTACCTCCAGACCTCAGAGAAGGGTAAGAACTCAAAACTATTTGACTTTAAAGATGGTTTTATTATCACCATGGCGATTGTCTGGTGTTTATTCAGTGTTTAAGGCCATTGGCTCACATCACATCATATAAAAACGCTTATTTCTGAAATATAGTTTCCAAAATGAAAAAGTGCAAGTTGTGCACATATCTGTTATCATGGGTCAAACTGCATATTTATGTCACAGGGTCTAGGAGTTAAAAATTTCTTTTGATGTGCAAAATTTGGAACCCCCCCCCCCCCAAAAAAAAAGAAAAGAAAAGAGAGTTACACCTCTCACATAATGGTTAATTTATCAATTTCCACTAATAAAGATTGTTATTTTATGGAAGGCTATGAGTTTTTAACAGGTTTTGACTCGTCTATTCCAATTCTCTGGGATGTTGATAATATACACGGCTGTTTCTTGATACGGAATTGTAAGAGAGAATGAATTATACTTGGGGCAGACTTCTTCCTCTATATTCTGCACAGTATGATCTACAAGGCTACTTTTTTACTGCCCTGAGAAATTATTTCGTGCTTCCACCACTTTGAGAAAAAAAACCCAAGGGAAAATAATAGGTTTTTAACTTCTGGACTTCAGTAGTCCTGTTGGCTCTGCCCAGTTCACAGGAACAATATAATTGCACGTAACTTTTCTTTGATGTGCCATTTTCTAAGTGTATAAGCCTGCCCCAGAATTTAATGACACAATGCATATAGTGTGTAGGTAGTCCTTCGTTGCCGAAAATGGCGATGAGATTCTGCAGCTCATCTGTGGATGCGCATGTGGCTGTGCAACCCGATCCTGGATGTACGTCTTGTGCAGTGGGGACACTGGTGAAGCGCTGTTTCTGCTGGGAAGACAGACGGCCCTTCGCCAGGTGTTCCTTTCAGTGGCGGTTCTTTCGAGTTCTGTGGGGGTAACCTGAGCAAACTGGAGGTTTTCCTTTATCGTGTCTTTGAACCGCTTTTTTGGCCTCCCGAGATTTCTGCCACTTGCGAGTTAGCCGTTCAGCAGTTGTTTGGGCATTTGGTGGTCTTCTGTGCGGATGACATGGCCGACCCATCTCAGTTGGACTTTGACGAGCATGCTTTCTATGCTTTGTGAGCTTGATCGGTTGAGGACCTCAATGTTGGTGATGCGGTCTTGCCACCGGATGCCAAGTGTGCTGTGGAGAGCCGTTTGGTGGAACTGCTCTAATTTGTTGATGTGCCTTCTGTAGAGTTTCCAGGTCTCCACAATGGCTTCGTACACTTTGATTTTTGTTGACAGGCAGACATTTTACTGTTTTAGTACCTCGTTTTTCTGTCTACCGAGAGCTTGGCTGGCTTTGCTGATTCATGAATCAATTTCCTGATTGATGAAGCCGTCTGCAGAGAAACCCCCCGGGGCTGTGCCACTGACTGAAGTGTCTTTAGGCCATTCCCAAAGGGGGGACATTATCATGTTCTGTTGCACAGTAGAATTGTAAATGGGCTGATTCATCAATGTCATGCTCTTAACTGTGCCGGAATTGCAAGAGGGAACTGCTGCTTTTTCTTTCCTCCTCACCTTACTATCGGCGTTTACCTCTACTTTTTTTGTATGTTTGCCATACTCTTGTGACCCGCTCTTTGCGGGGTGCCTTGATGCCTGATGTAGACTTTGTGCTGTTGAAGCTAGAGAGGTGAGCAGAGTAAACCCGATTCCCTGTAAGGATTTCTCTGTTGACATCCACCCCTTCGCGCTATTGTGACCTTATGCAGTTGCGTGCGCTATAAAACCTCTACTAAAAAAAAAAGAACACCTGCAGAGATGACATTTCCAAGGTATTTAAAGTTCTTTGTGTTCCTCAGGCTGTTGCCATTGATAATGATGTTTGGAGACAGTGGGTTAGTTTGTGGGGTAGGCTGGTGAAGAACTTCAGTTTTCTCGAAGTTATTGTAAGTCCAAAAAGCTTTGAGGCTTCTGCGAAGTGATTGAGCTTCATTTGCAGGTCCGCTTCAGAGTGAGCATTCAAGGAGCAGTCATCGGCGAAGAGCCCCTCCTGGAGGAGTTTTGTGCCGATTTTTGTCTTGGCTTGCAGGCGATGTAGATCAAAAAGAGAGCCATCTGGTCGATAATTTAGGTATATTCCCTTGTCAAATCCTTGCAGGCATGGGAAAGCATGGCGGTGAGTAAGATATTGAAGAGGATTGGTGGCAAGACACCGCCTTGTTTGACGCCATTTGTAATTTCGAATTGGTCTGTCATGTTGCCACTTGCTAGAACTTGCCCACTCATGCCTATGCCTGTGTGGAAGAGCTGGATGATCTTTAGGAACTTGGGAGGGCAGCCAATTTGTTCTAGGACAGTCCACAGGGCTTCTCTGTTGACTGTGTCGAAAACCTAGGAAGGCTCTTCAGGAGAGCTGATCTGATGGCAAAGGCAACTCTGTGAATTCGTTTCTCTGTCTGTGGTTCTTTTCCAAAAATAAGTATAGTCACCTCCTTCTTCCCTCATCAGCTGGAAGACGCGTCTCACTAAGTGCAGAGATGTCAATGTTGTAGCATTAGAGTTTTCTCGCCACAAAACCCCCGGGGGCGGTGCCACTGACTGAAGTGTCTTTAGGCCATTCCAAAAGGGGGGATATTTCTTGTTCTAATGCACAGTAGAATTGTAAATGGGCTGATCCAACGTCATTCTCCCAACTGTGCCTGAACTGCAACAGGGAAGTGCTGCTTTTTCTTTCCTAATCCTAACTATCGTCATTTTTCCTGTACTCCTTTTGTATGTTTGTCACACTCTTGTGACCCGCTATTTCCGGGGCGCCTTGATAGTTGCAGCAGACTTTGTGCTGTTGAAGCTAGAGAGGTGAGCAGAGCAAGTCTGATTCCCTGTACGGACTTCCCTGTTGACATCCTTCCCCTGGCGCTCATATGACCTTATGCAGTTGTGAGCACTGTAAACACTTACTAAAACTAAAATAACAATTTGCTGTCTAGTAAAAATACAATTGAGCCTGCCACGATGGCCACCTGTATAAAACAGTCACCTGTACAAATGGTGCCTCCCCCGTGCTTTTTTTCTACAAAATAGCACTGTTTAAAATGATAACCTGTCCAGCGCAGTGGCAGCCATTATATAACAACCACAAGATGGCTATACAAATCTCTTATTGCCCGACGCTTTATCATTAATTATATAACCCATTCACCTATCGTCAGTGTTTGTTCCTCCAATGAATAAACTGACCAATATTGCAAACATCCTTCCTACTGTTTACCCAAGTTGAACAGTCCGGCGGGTGGATGGAGGGTGCAACTGGTAAGTTCTACTTTTCTCTTCCTCTGTTGTTTCTGTTTATCTGTCTGACTTTTCTCTTACACTATAGGACCATTATTTTGTCGTTCTGCCTCTCTTTATTCCAACAAATGACCTGTCTGTAACAAACTTCCTACTGCTTGTGAGGGAGGCATGTGATCCGTCATAACCTAAGAGCCCCGGCCACTACTCTGACCACACACAAATCATAAGTGAGATGAGAAGTCGCTTGACATGTCAACATGACCTTCTGACTGAAGTGTAGTTCGTTTACTCATTTTTTTTGTTTTACCATGGCATTCGGTTTTCCTGATTTTGTTTTGTTTTACCCTTGCATTGCACATTGCAGAATTTAACAATCGAAGCAGCCTCCGAAAGAAAGAAAAAACCCATTTTAATGAGCCTTACGATATTCCCGAGCCTGTAAATGCTCCTGATTGGGACCTGAGAAGGAAATGGGTTGTTTTTTTCATTTTTATAAGTCCTGTCAAAGATGGCCTCCTTTTCCTTCACAATGCGTGGCCGTCTTAGACAGGCTTCACTGTATACTGTTCATTTGTCTGTCTGCAGATGCCAGGAAGAAGTTGCCATTCAAGAGTTTCGCAAGCACATAGGTGGTGCTGTGGTCACGTATTGCCCTGAGGATAGATCTATTCATGTTGTGGTAAGAACGTTTGACTATTGGTTTTGTGTTCTTCAGTATCATGTCAAGTAGTATATATGTGATAAGTGTTTTGAGGAAGTGTATGCCTCTGTATGCATAAAGTTGATTGATGGATGGGGATTCCTTGTTTATGTCCATTTTGTGTTTGTATTTCAAGGATAATTGTTTTCATGTCACTTGGATATAAAAGGTATTTATATTTTATTTATACTAATTACTTTGAGTACTTACATTTTAATAGCAGTTATCCAAGAATCTATCAGATTTCATTATTTTGTCTATTGTATTACATCAACCTCTTCCACTGAGAAACAGGCTTGTAACCGCTTTAGTTTTTGTGTCTTTTTATAGTTCTACTAGAGGGCGGAAGAATACATTCTCAGAGAAATATTTCACATTATACATGTGTAACAATTTAACAGAATAAGTCACTAATTATACTCAGCTGTTTCAAGATATCTAGCTAAACCTCCCTCTTCTCAGTACTATGGCTTTGTAACTCTACAACTTCAAGTGACTATAACTTTATGGAGCCCAAGTAGCTAGACTTAGTATTGTGTTTACCCATTAGTAGGGGGTGAACAGAGCTTTAATTTGAAACCCATAGTGTTATAATGTCAAAATTCAACATATTACTCAATTTATGTTGGTGCACATATTGCAGACATTTGCTGTTTAAAAGGTTGTGGAATGCAATATTGAAACCTGCCCTAAAATAATGAGATTGCACTGAAGTACTGTCAAGAGGAGATAAATCTTTTTAAAATTTTATAACAAAAGTGTTTAATCAAAATAATGACATCTGTACTATGAAGAGGTTGGTCCTTGGTGTGAAATAATTTAATCATCTTTCATGCAAGTATCTTTTGAAAACAAATTTCTGGTTGTTTCCTTAGCTTGCTTTCAGTACTACTAATTATTGTCGTCTTTTTAAAGCACAACCGTGCTCTAACAATCTTCATCTCATGGTACGTTAGGTATTAAGCTATGAAGTGTTTATTTTTTAAATTTCATTATATGGCACACACACACACTCACACGCACAGACTCACGCATACACAAACACACACACCCACACACAGACACACGCACGCACACACACACACACACACACAGAGCCTATATTTATTTTGAATTCGACCCTTACCATTGATATTTCAGACTTCGGATCAAACTGTTGTCAAAAGAGCTTCGATGATTGGGGACATGTTCTTGAGGAACATGCGGCAGAAAGTGTTGCTGAAGCAGAGGACAGAGGAAGCAGCAAAAAAGCTGCAGGTCGGTTGGTCTGGTGGTTCCCCCCCATCCCCTCATTCCTGGTCTTTTATTGTATGTATTTCAGGACTGCCTAAATCTACAGATTTTTCCTATAGTTACAGATTTTGGGCTTGTTTTACCGCCTTACCGATAAAGGTGTCAAAACTACCGGATTTGCAATGGGTGGCGTAAGAAGAAAAAGACACCCCCCCCCCCCAATCCCATTCTGCAGTGCTTCCAATCTTCTTTGTTTTTGCGTAAATCCATACATTCTTAAAGTTATATCAACTCCATGGGTTAGAGAGAGAGATAGAGAGAGAGACCTTCTCACAATTTCTTTGAGAATGGTGGATCGAATTGTAGCTGTAGGTACACAAGTACAGTCAAACCTGTGTAAGACGGCCACCCATTGTCAAGGAGAAAAGTGGCCGTATAAGACAGGTGGCCGTCTTAGGCAGGACTAATCAAGATGAAGAAAACAAACCATTCCCATCTGAGGTCCCAATCGAAAGTAGCCGCATTGTTTTTGTTTTTGCTGTTGTTGTTGGTTTGTATTTTGTTAGTAATTTTTATTGTTGCTGATTTTGCGCAAGGGTGACAATAAAACGAAATGTATCAGACGAGGAAGACCGAGTGCCTTGTTAGAACAAACACATGGGTCGCCACCACTCGGAGAACAAGCAACGCTTCTGTTGCAAGTTCATGTAGGCGTCCTTTGTTACTTAGTTACAGACTGGGTAAACAGGGACCACTCATCTCACGTACAATTTGTGTATGAGTTCTGGGCGGGGCTTATGGGTTATGAGGGATCACACGCTTACCTCACCAGCAGCTGAAAATTGGTACCTATTCGTCAACAGTGGGAAGGGCCTACGCAACATGATCGGTTGGAGGGACTACCTAACAACAACGACAGGGTATTGAATTATGACGGCTCGCCCACCACGCCAGGGGCCAATGCACAATTTATGACAAAACGTAAAGGAGTCACTAAGGTGGCTGTCTAAGACAGGTGTTATTGCTTAGTGTTATAGGGGTTGTGTGTTAAAATAAGGTGGCCGTGGCCGTTTTACACAGTTAATTTATATAGAAAAAACACAAGGGGGGGGGGGAATGGAAAGTGGCCGTTTGTACAGGTGGCCGTCTTATAGAGGTGGCCGTCAGGGCAGGTTTGACTGTACTACGTAGAAAGAATAAGATCTTTTTTAGTAGGCTTACTATTGCCACTATTGGATTGACTGAATGTCTAATTATTTCGAGGTTTTGGGTAACATTAACAAAAGGACTACAATGCAGAGTTATTCGGGGCCAAGAGCTAGCCATCATCGCTCAACCATGAGAATTGTAACAGCAATTTCCTTCCATGGCACAATGACCGCCGGGTTGGAGAGTTCTAAACGAACATTTCGTTCGTCGACACTTCGGACTCTCAGAAATTCACAATGATGAGCTAGTGTTGACGTAGATCTACGCAATGAATTGTGCGCTGGTCTATGGACTCAAAAGTTGCCGTATGCTTGGCCCTATACACAGCAACACGACTCTTTGGCAAACTATCGAGATGACACAGGCGTGCATTTGAACGAATTCATCTTTTTTGCTCAGCTCAAAATATGCAGGCATTTCAGGCACCCCTTGTTACTTTCCTTTATACGTTACTTGCTCAGTGCCTGTAATTATCTACACAAAAGCCTCTTGTTTGGTATAACGAACACTCGGATTCAACGAGATTTTAGGTCAGGCTTGGCGACCTAGTTGAATCAGAGTTCCACTGTATATACTTAAAAGTAAAGTAATTTATTTCAGTCTAGTGCATTTAAAGGCAGTAAATCCCCATAAGTGCCATAGAATTCTGTTTTTTGTTTCTCCTGAAAAATTTACGAATTCGGAGTTAGACGGTGAGAATTCTCGGCCAATGATATGATGTTCCCCAAGTGTTGTGAAATGGGGAGCTCAAAGAGGGTTTATAATTTATATGGCAAAAACAACCTATAAGTAAACAATATACGTCTTGTAAATTATAAGATGTGAGCAATAACTGTCGACCTAGAACACAACTTTTTAGTAAATAATATAGATCTAGTAAATTAAAGAACGTGGGCAATGTTACAATACTTGTCGATTCTGTTCTTCAATGAGGGTAAATCCAATAATCACCGCAATATCACTGAACACAAAATAGCGATAATAAGTGGATTATTCACATAGTTCAAGAGAAGTAATACATCGTGTCCGACCAGTATCAGGTTTGCGTAGCAAAGTGACGAGTGGTGGGAAGTGCTGCGGTTCTCATATTACCAGGACTTCCTGACGTCATAGGGGGTGAAATCAATGGATGAAAAAAATTTATTCACTATAATTCTTCGAATTTACTCCTCATTTCATGAAAGCTTGTTTTAAAGACATTTGAATAAAAATTTAATGTTTCACTGTCAGTACTACTTTTATATTCTGTCGACTCAAAATACTATGCATTATAGGCGTGAGGCGGCCTGAGGATTGATGAATACTGTCTGGAAGAAATGTACATCTACCGGGAACTAGACACATAATATGTCCTAATTTATGATTGGCAGAAATTTGTTAAGTAAATCTAGTTAAGTTCAGCTGGAACTGTATATGTAATTGGTTGATAATCGTTTTTCCTTGCGCATGGCAGATCTTGATGAGTCGAGAAGGCTCATAATTTGTCTCTAATTTCTACCACTAGTCAAGATGGCAGTCGGTGCCATCCCGTCATACCCCCACCCCCGCTGTACCGCCAACTTTATGCTTGTCCCAACATTGGCTGTATAATGGGTTTTGGCAGTACTTCTTAGAGCAGGTTAATTATATCTTCACAGAAAATTTCTCAGTTATAGAGGTATTGGTTGCAATGGGGTGCAATTTGTGATGGGTATGAAATGGTTTTGATTAAGTATTGAATGAGGGAGATTTGGCTTGGAAATGTGCGTGACGAGGGAAAATATGTTTAGACTCTCAAAGTCAGGCATGGGAAAAATGCATCTTGCGGGCAAGATCTGGCCCAGTTTTAGTCTCCTTTTTGAGAGCTTCAGAATTCAACCAATTTTACAGAATTTTCTTCTGCTTTGGCAAGCAAGATGTTCTGATTCGCTTAATTTGCCCATGCTTGGCCATGCCTGCTTTAAAGTGTCTCATATTTTGATTCAGTTATACCACTGTAGATTTATACGGGTATTGCAGATATTAATTTAGGGATCTTGTATTTGTTGTAATATTAGATTGATGCTAGGTGTTTGTAATAAGTTGCTCATGCATTCTTCCAAAGGAGAATTTGCTGTTGAAAGTTGTGAGTGTTTGGCTAAAGTGTCTACACCTGAATAAAGCGTATATGTCTGGCAAAAGTGTATGCAGTTTGATTGGTGATGTGCTGTGGTCTGTCCTACTGTGCCAAGCAGGCCACGTGTCTTTCACAGAGCACCAAAGTACGCTCCGGCTACATGGAAGAGTTTCAGGTGAGGGACGAGCTCATGGGTCTGGCCATTGGCACGCATGGAGCGAACATCCAGCAGGCACGCAAGGTGGAGGGCATCACTGGCATTGAACTGGACGAAGCCTCATGTACATTTAAAGTCTATGGAGAGGTAAGTTCTCTTCTACAGTAAAGTCTTTTGATTCCAGTTTTACATGTCCCGATACATACCAGTAGCAGTTATCTCTGCTCTGTACTTTGAGAATAGCATCTTCTAGAGACAGTAAAAAATAGAAATGTTTAAACCTTGAGTATTCAAATTGATTGTAACAAAGGGACTTCGGTTGAATCTGCCATCACCCAGGAAATTAGACTTCATGTAATTCATTTTCATACACTCAACACTGTGCTTTGCTGTGTAACTACAGGTAGGGAGTTGGGTTGGAAGTAGAGTAGAAATAATAGCTTGAGCTTGATGTCGAATAGTAGGTTCTTCAACGTGAACACAGAGTGGATAGTGTTTTGCAGAAAGATTAATTCCGTCCTTTCAAATTTTAGTCAGATTGTTATTTATATGTATGAGGGTGGGCCTAGGTTGTATTAAAACAATTTAATTGTCACGTCATGAAAGTAAGAGTGATTAGAAAAAACTCTGGTCAACCTCTGTGACTTGCTTATGGTCACTGAGACTTTTTAGGCTTTGTCAAGGTTTGTAGTGTATTGTTTTGATACAGTGATGGTAGATAGATAATTTAAGGATAATTATTTTTATTTCAGACGTTGGAGGCTGTTCGTTCAGCCAGAGGCTTGTTGGAGTTCTCCGAAGAGACTTTTCAAGTGCCAAGAGATCTCGTTGGTATGATTTTTTCCTTTCCTTTGAACAATTTGATTTTGAGAGATTGGATTTTTTTCATTTTGAGTCTATCCTGCACTCCTGACGAAACTGGGTAAATCCAGTCTCTGTAGGATGTTGGTACCAGAGTGGGACCATCATTTCTTTCTAAATAATCCTACTGCATGAGATGATGGGATGCCACTGCAGATCTGCAAAGTACTTTGATAAAATTTGGGGTCTTTGAGTTTTTTACCTGAAGAAAAACTGGGATAGAAATTGCTGCATCTAGTGAATGTGAACTAGAGTAGACTGTGCAACTAAAGCAAAGTGAGTTTTTCTTTTTCCTCTCATCACTTCTTATTTAGATCAAGTAGGCTGACATTTTCTTTTAATTTATGTGCACATTATAGGCTCATCCAATGTTGTTTTGTTATATAAGCTTAATTTACTTGGGCTTTTGAGACTCCCCCCTTTTGTTTTCCCAAACTCCCTTTTTTGTATGCGAGGGTTCCGAGGAAAGCGCCTATTTTTGGTCAGGGTTGTGTTGGTAGGAGACCTGTGGAAATAACTGCATAGATTATATGTATGTTACATCTTTATGAACCTGGCAGATTTGGGAAAATTCAGTGCTCACCCTCAGCAAAAATTAAATGTTCATGCAATTGAGATATGAAGTTCATTTGAAATATTAGTAATTCAAATAAAGCACCATTGTTTTTCCCCTATTATCAGGGCTGTCCATCATTATGAATTTCGCGGAAACATCATGATTTTTATTCAATTTTATGAAAATACCATTGTAATATATCTGATTCCGATTTTTTAAATTTCGACCCTCCCAGCCAACCTGCCTGGTGTTTAACTCTTTTTATCCGGGCTACGAGTATACTCGTAGCGAGGACCAGTCCGGGCTACGAGTATACTCAGAACAGCGATACGGTCACGTCAAAGAAGCTAGTTCTGCTTGTAATTACCAAAATACGCAAATACGGCGCACTGGCAGTGGAATTTTAGTTGCCGCGGGGGGTTCCCCGCCGGGCGCCTTATCACGTCGGGGTCACGGGGGTCAGCTCCCTGTCGCCGCTCTGTCTGGGCCGACTTAATTTTTGGTACTTTTCAACGTACAATTTAAGGTGTATCCTTGTATTTATGGTAATTTTCATTTAGTGCACCCAAAGCACGCATTTCTGCTCTTGAGACTCAAAAAAGAACGGACGTTGTAACTTGTCTGGTTATTTCGTTAGACGCGCTGGAGTCGGCAATGCTAAATTGTAATTTTTTTGGGACTAACGTGAATGAAAAAAAATCAATATAAAAAAAACGCATCGTCAAAATCTGTCGAACTTTTGGAATATGAACAACATAACATTAGTGCAGATACTCAGAAAAGATGGTATCTGCGCTTATAATAGAAGGCTGTAATTTTGCAACTTTATCCATCGCGCACACAATTCGCTATGAAGTAATTCCTCCAAATACAACTTTATGTGTCTAATATATAATCCTGAATATTCGCATATTTTCTCGAAAGTTTATAAAAGTTATCATGAAGTTTCTCAATGAAAAGTACAAATCGATTTTAGTGCTAGAATATATCTTCAACGTAGATCTAGTACACGAACAGTATCTGTTACACTCCAGAAATTGCTTACTTTTCTTAAAACGCTAAGTCTAGGTTTTGTAAGTTGACTGAATAATAAGGATGACTTCTCGTAATTGGGTTATAAGAATAATTTCTAGCTTTCCAGGGACACTGAATCAGCACCAGACTTTTCCAACTTTTTTTACGTCTCTATGACCATTTGCAATAACTGACAATGTGACTGATTTCTTTACATTCATTTGTGTCCGCGCATATTTCCTACACAAAAACTAAGAATGAATGTTTTAGCTGTCATTATTTTTATTCCATAACAGAAGTTTATCTCTACCCATGTATTTACACGGTTTTGTGGTTTTTTAAATCGCTTATATTATATCTTTTTAGTTGTATGCAGGCTGCCACAGACACAGCATGATTCATGAACAAACGCAGAGTAACTTTCTCTTGTTTAATAGTAAAATAAGAACTAACGCTGATCGTCTTTAGTTAAAATATGCAGATGTGCATCTTTCTTCTCTTATAACTTGACTATTACTACTACCACAGATTTAAGATTTCTCGTAGTAAAAGACATGATATTCGTAGTCAGTTTAACACAGAATTTGGAGAGATCTGTCGTGCCTTTTTAAAAATAACAATCATTTATTCATAACTTTGTAACTAAAATAGGACAAATTGGGTACTCTACAAACACTTGTCTAGAACAAAAACTAAGGCACAGAAACTAACCATGCTAACGCAGAATAAATCTCAAGACATTGAGCTTTTAGTACATCCGTGTAATGGTTTGCTGTGTGGGATGGGGAAGAAGTTATATCGTTTTAAACATTGTCAAAAATGCGAACTTCCCGACCGACACCGGCAAAGTCGCCTCAGGGCTCATTAATCCCGTGACCGCGAGCCGGGGAGCTCCGGCGGGCTGCTGAGTCACGCGAACTAAAAGTAACAGAATCGGGCGAAAAGTGACGCCGTGGGCGATGCTAGCTCTGTCTGAATATTTTAAATTTTCAATGAACAGTATTGAACAGTGGTTACTTTGTTTTTGATGGGTGTAGAAGCTTGAAAGATGTCTTGAAAACGCACATTCACGACTGACGAAGTACTTTTTGAAGTGGCGCTGGGTTGTGAGGGGGAATTATACTAATTTGATGAAAGTGACTCTGGAATAAGTGCCGTAAATTCCGTTGTGGATGATTAGAAACAGGACTTGGACTCATCTAATAGCGATTCAGATCATGGTGATGGGGTTAGTACTGGAATTCGTGCCCGATTTGTAGGTCTAAGATCTAGATCTATAAAATCCAATGGGTCGTCGTGGGCGTGGCAATCAGGGTCAAGTTCGAGGGTGGAGTACACCTCAAAATCTACATTGTGCAATTTGTGTAATTCATAACCACATACATTTACAAAAACTACATTCAATTTCTAACATAACTGCCAAATTTCCTTAAAACCTTAGAGTAAATGTAAAAAATATAGCACTTTGAACTATACGCACTGACTTCCGACTCATACGGCGCGGCGGCCCCATGACTGGTACAGAGATAAAAAGAGTTAAGAGAAACGCCACTATGTCATGTACAAATTTCTAACTTGAGCATTCTCTTTGCCTTGTACCCTTGTCGCTCAGTGCCACTTTGCCCTGAGAAAAACATTAGACTTTAGAAGTGCCGAATCCAGGAGTAAAGTAAACATTTGGTTTGACAAGGTGTTGGCAAATTCCTGTTTTTTTTGTGCTGTGTGTGACAGCCAAGATCAGGGAGAGATTTTTTAAAAAATGGATCATTGTTTGAAACTTGATACAATAGCCCCCTTTTCCGCTCTTAAAAAAAAAAAGTCGACTGGTGATGAGCCGGTAAAAAAAGCTTTTTTCACCACGTCTTTGTTTGCGTTTCTTTATACTTCCTTTACTACAACCCCTGTCCTTGAAACCCCAGGGTAGAGCACAATCCATGGATATATTAAGAATTTTTTAGCGAGATTGCTAATTTTTTATTTGCTGATTACTAAAACATATACTGATGGTTGGGCAGCTCTGCATTATTTCATTTTATGTTTTCATATGGTGGGTGGTTGGCGGGTGCTCTGTTTGCTCTTATTTTCCTATCAAACATCATCCTTATCCTCCTCCTTTTTTGTGTTTGTTACTCTCTTGTAATGCGTTTAGCCTTCTGCACTTATACGGCCTTATTGTGTTGCAAGTCCTGCAAAACTCTTACTAAAACTTAACCTTTTCACAAGGAACAGTGTCACTGTTTTTCAGCCATTGTGCACTGTTCAGCTCAAGCTAATGCTTGGTTGGGAACTGTATTGTGTATTTTGTATCTTGTATTGTGCTTAAAGAATCCTCACAGTTTTCAGGACCAATTGTTGATTATAATTATTGTGTTTATGTATATATTTTAGCAAATCTTGATGCTCTCTCTACAGCTAAAGTAATTGGAAAGAATGGGCGGAACATCCAAGACATAGTTGATAAGTCTGGGGTTGTTCGTGTCAAAATTGAAGGCGACAATGAGCATGAGACAGAAAGGGAAGAGGTAACAAAAGACAACATGGTTTGTTCCCAGTGTGTTGAACTGGTGCGTTCAGTCATTAAATGTTCTAGAATTTTGGTAATTAATAATAACAATAGTTATTTATCTTGAAATGTTTTAGTTAATAGTTTTAGTTAATTAATGGTGAAACATAGAGCATGTTTTAGGCCCTTGTGTGATTAAGAGAAACTGCTGTAGATTTGGAACATTTTGCTTTTTTTTAACCTGTTCAAGAGAACCACCTATCTAATAGAACCATTTTTCTTCACGACAGTGGGTGACCCTCTGGGTCAGTTTTGACTGTTTTAATGTGTCTGTAGATAGTTGTTAAAACTGTTTCCCAAGAGTTTTTGAATAGATAGTATCAGTATTTTACTTTGTGGTATTTTTGTGAGTACCAACTACAAGAGCACGCAAAACAGTAAGACAAGGCCTCTTTCTTCTGTCCCATGAAGGGTCAGGTACCATTCATATTTGTTGGAACGATGGAAAGCATCAGCAATGCCAAACTTCTACTTGAGTACCACCTGGACCACCTCAAGGTAAATCCAAACTCAGATCTCTGATTTAAGCGCTTCAGGTATAGTGGGGTTTCTAAGTTTCCAGGATCTTTTGGTTTTGTGTCATATTGTTAATGTGTCTCAATCTGATCATATTGGTAATATATGTGTGGCAGCATGGTGGAATCAGGCTCTCGTCAAAATAATCATAGTGAAGAAACCTGCATTTTTCTGCAGGTTTGTGAATTTTAATCACATTTTTGTTTTTTGGCTCAACACCTTTCATGCCCATTAAAGAACTCATTTCTGTGTGGATTTTTCTTGAAAATGTTGATTAAAGGCACAAAAAATGTAAATATTCAGTTACCACGGACTCTAAAGCTAAGGAAATAACTAATCTGTGGAGGCCATTTTCTCACTAATTTTACCTCTGAAAACATTTGACCCCCACCTCCTTCATTTGCAAATATCTCGACTTGTATTCAAGATAAATGGATACATTTTCATCCAAATAAAGACAACTGAATAAGCTTTAAGATGATACCAATAACTCTACATGCCCAAAAATTGACGAGAGCCTTATTCCACCGCGCTGCCTCACATATTGTCTCTAGGAAAAAAGTCATGTTTTAATTACACCTGACGTTAGTTGCATTTGTTATCATTGTCTGGGGGGAAGTCTTAGGCAGTTTTATTTCATTTTACAGATTTTTTCAATGGAGACACTGACAATGATGCAAGTGGACCATAGTCAGGGCTGCCCATCATTACGTTTTTGGCAGAATTGTTGTGGTTTTGTGGCGTCGCTGGCTTAGTGGTTAGGCTACCGGACTAGCAATTGCAAGGTTGCGGGTTCGGGGGTTTGAGGCGCGGGCCCGACATTTTGTCCCTGGGAAAGGCACTTTACACAAATTTTCCTCACTTTACCCAGGTTGGAACGGCCGTAGACAGCGAAAGATCTTGTCAGTATGTTAGTATTTTAGCGCCTATAAATGGCCGCTTGCACTGTATGCTTCCCAGGAAGTTAAGGTTGTTTCAGAATGCTCTTAGGTCTGCTGGAGTAATAGTATAGATTGTGAAGCGCATAGAGCTTGCTGTTGAGCGGGGATTTGCGCTATACAAATGCTATCTATTATTATTATCTATTATTATTATCTATTATTTGTGATTATAAATTTTTTTTAACAACACTATGATCGTAATACCCCTTTATTTATACTCCACTACAACTCCCCTGAAAACATTTATAGTCAAAGGGGATACTGACTGAAGTTGTCTTTAGGCCATTCCCAAAAGGGGGATATTAACATGTTCTTATGCACAGTAGAATTGGTCTTTAGGCCATTCCCAAAGGGGGGGGGGGCATTAACATGTTCTTATTCTCAGTAGAATTGTAAATGGGCTGATTCATCAATGTCATGCTCTTAAGGGAATCCGCGGGTCTCGATCCCTAGAAAATCGGGTATTTGCTTTAAAAAAATGGAACTTCGAGTATTTGGATATTCTTACAGAAAAATATGTGAAGAATCCGTTTGTGAAGGGCCCAAAACCTAAAGAGACGTGTATATAAAAATGTATTTGAAAGCGGTAGTGGGGGGG